CTAACAGCTTCTCATTTGATTCAGATTTTTGAAAATGATATGAAAAACATTCAAAGTGAATTTGAATCTGAATTCAAACAGATTGAGAATGAAGCAACCGAGTTGGCTCAAAAATGTGATATTACTACGGAATATAAGCAGCAAAGAATACGTAAGAGAAAAAGATTCCATGATGAAATTGCAGAGGATGAAGAAGGAATATTTGATGCCCGGGAGAAATTCATAGTTGAATCCTACTTAGTGTCCTTAGATTCTGTTATAAATAGCACAAGTAAAAGATTCGAGCATTTTAAAAATGTGGCTGCCAAATTTAGTAGTTTAGATCCAATGCATTTTGACAACGCGGATAATGTGAACAAATTAGAATTTTTGGCAGACATTTACTCAGATGTGATCAACAGTCAAACTGAAATTGTGGAAGAGTTTCTTTCATTTAAAGACATGTACAAAGAGATAATGAGCACTAGCGGTAGGGTAAAGTCAAGTGTCGACAAGAAACTCACCATCCACAGTGTACTGAAATTCATGATCGCCAATGATATGTGTTCCATTTATCCTAACCTTTCGAGATTGTACCAAATTTTTCTGACCTTGCCAATAAGTAGCGCAGTTGCGGAACAATCCTTTAGCCGACTCAAACTTATAAAGTCCTACCTGCGCTCTACAATGGGTGAAGATAGATTGTCTGGGTTAGCTGTGTTCTCCATTGAAAGACAATTGGCTACTGAAGTAGATTATAATAAAGTAATAGATAACTTTGCTAGAATGAAGCTTAGAATAAAATAAAATAAGAACTATGTTAGCAATTCTCCAGTCATACGTTACAACCCTGAGTTTACAGATTCATTAAACATTCTTGCTAATGGGCTTGCAATTTCATGTTCCAGTTCCTTTAATATTCTTGGATGAAGATTATCTGGGCCCCCCGATTTAGTCCCATTAAGCTGTTCGAGTTTGGCTTCTACCTCGGATGTGGTAATATCTACCTCCATATCCTCATTCCCATTTGTCATCCTGCCATTATTCCTAAGCTCCTCATTAAAGACGGAAGCAAAATATTTGTTTAGATTTTGGGCCATGCCTAGATTATCCTTAACCTCCACTCCATCCTCAGTGTTTAGCGGTTCCACTTCTTTCTGTGTTTTCTTCTTATTTATATGGCTGTAGAACCTTTTGCTATTGGTTTTAATTCCCTTTGCAAGGTCCAACTCTACATGGCTTTTGGCCTTTCTCACTTTATCCCTACATGTTCTGACCTCAATACGGTAGCTTTCCTTGCTGATCCCTCCCATCTTCTACTCCTTGTAGGATTTCTGCTTTTTCTTAATCACCTCTCTGAGATGCTTGCTAATCCAGCTTGGTCTACAACTCCTGCCTATGAATTTTTCCCCCTTTCTTGAGATGCAGGCTTCTGATACTTTCTGCAACTTTGACTTGAAGTAATTCCAGGCCGCCTCCACCTTTAGATCCACAAGTTCTTCAGTCCGATCCACTTCCCTAACTAATTTCCGTAATTTTTTTAAGTTAACCCTTTTGAAATCAAAAACCCTAGTCACAGATCTGTTTTTGTTTATCCTTCCATTTAGTTTGAACTGAATTAGCTCATGATCACTCGAACCAACGTTGTCCCCTACAACCATTTCTTCTATGAGGTCTTCACTACTCACCAAAACCAAATCTAAAATGGCCTCCCCTCTTGTTGGTTCAGCAACTACTTGGTGAAGGAACCCATCAGCTATCACATTCAGGAAAATCTGAGCCCTGTTATTATTACTAGTACTTGTCCTCCAGTCTATATCTGTCTCCCATGATCACACAAATCCCATTAGTATTTACTTCATTAAAAACATTTAAAAGGTCTCTATCCATATCCAAATCAGATCCCGGTGGTCTATAGCACACCCTAAGCACTATCCCAGGGGAGGCTCTAGCAGGTTTCTTCCCCAATGTGATTTTTGCCCAGATAGACTGTCTTATCCATTCCATCACTTCTTATGTCTTTACAGTCTACTTCGTCATTGATATACAATGTTACTCCACCACCTTTGCCTTTATTTCTGTCTTTCCTAAACAGCACATACCCTTCAATACCTGTACTCCAGTCATGACTACTATTCCACCATGTTTCTGTTATCCCTATAATATCTGGTTTCACTTCCTGCACCAGTAACTCTAGTTCCCCCATTGTGTTACCTAGGCTCCTCATCTTAATTTTTGCAGTTTGGCTTCGCTCACATTCTTTACCCGATTAGGTACAGACATTCTACTGCAGTATCACCTATTAGACTGGTATCTACACTACCCTTCCTCCTTATGTCCATTCTCCTACCCACGGCTGTATCCTTTCTTACTTCATTTTCTTCCCTCTCAATGTTAAAATTTGGCGTGGAGATTACCTTGACATCTCCCAACCATCGCCCCCAAATTCCTAGTTTAAAGCTCTCTTAATCAGTTGTGCCAGCCTCCATCCTAGAAGTCTATTTCCCTCCCTACTCAAGTGAAGTCCACCCCGAGAGAACAGTCCTCTGTCCATGAATGCCTCTCAGTGGCAATATATCCCAAAGCCCTCCTTATAGCACCACTGCCTGAACCATCTGTTGATCATCATAATCTTGTCACACCTTTGTTGCCCTTCTCTAGGAACAGGCAGAATCCCACTGAAGATCACCTGAGCCTCAATTTCCTTAAGCGTCTTCCCCAGCCTG